GAATTGTTAATTTGGCCCTGTCCATTTGCATGTTGTCATGGGACTGTTAGCTGCCCAAAATAATAGGCAAATATAAATGCAGCTGCTGGTTACAAAAATCCCTTGACTTATGAGAAAGCAAGATTTTTCTGAGCACCAGGTTAGGAGCCAGAGAACAATTGACCTTAGGGAGAAGAGAGATTGTGTTCCCATGAAGGTTTTCCAGTCTAGTTCCTCCCTTCCCTTTCAGCCAATGCTGAGTTGAGATAGCGCCTAAAAACTGTCATCTTTAATTTCATTATCCTAACCCCCCACCTCCAAGAACAGCATCTGGTTCTCATTACATAATCTAAAGGAAAAGCACTCTGCATATGCTTACAGCCACTCTTATTTCTCAATATTGCTGCATCTCTTCAAAAGTTGAGTCTATTCATTGACAGAGTTTGTGACTCAAGTCAAATACTACAGTATTAGGGTCACACTTTGTGAAGAGGCAACCTCTGCTCTTCTCCACTTTAAAACATGTGCAATCATCACATGGAAAGTGATTATGTGTGATCAAATTGTTGTTGACTCTCTACATGATGATCTGTCCCTAACGTGGTCCTTCAGCTCTTCCAATGGTGCCCCCATCACCACCAGAATCGAGTCTATCCACCTTGCTGCTGGTCCTCCTCCTCTTTTCTCTTTCCTTTACCTTTCCCAGCATTAGAGCCTTCTCCAGAGAGCTAGGTCTTCACATAATGTGTCCAAAGTAGGATAATTTGAGCCTTGTTATTTGTGCCTCAAGTGAGAACTCTGGGTTGATTTGTTCAATGATCCATTGCTTCATTTTTTTGGCTGTCCATGGTATTCTCAGGAGTCTTCTCCAAACATGGAAAGTACCCACCTAAAAAGAGATGACTACCTGTTGTACTTCTTCTTGACTTAGGGCTCTAGCATTACAACCTTCCAATCAGCTTCCAATTGTGCTTCATTCATTTAGGTGGAGACTAAAGTCAAAAATTATAGAGAATTTTCCAGAAGGTCTCTGCATGGATTTTGGCTTGCTCCCTTGCTGTCAGAAAGTCTTATCTAAAATAGGAATTAACAGATTAATATATTTTACTGTGCTCAAGACTTATACCAATTAATTTAAATCTTCTATAACAGAGTCTTTTATTGTAAAATCATGAATTCCTATTAATTCTCAATATTAATTTTTTTAAATACTGGAGGCTAATGTTCTCACAGTGTAATTCTATGCAAGACATCTTGTAAACTGCAAACAGCATGCTGTTTTGCTTTATTACAAAAATGTATTTTGGTTAATTTATATATAAACAATATGAATTTCTTTAAAAAAAATAGTAAATTTGTCCTCTACTACAAAAATTGCAAACACATTGGATTTTAACCTTCCTGAGCCTAGTAGGAAACATGAATGGTTTATAATACTCCACTTATTGTGCTATTTTCAGCCATAAATGAGAATTTCTTCTGCTAGTATATAAAAATAAAAATCATTTAACAAATAAAGAGGAATTGGAGCAAGCCAAAATTTAATGGCCTCAAGCAACACTGAAGCATCAATTCAGCTGACTAGCAAAATATGAGATTTCTTGGATAACTGCTATTTTCATACGTAAATATATTTTGTTTAATTTTATTGGGGCACATGATAAAATTCAAGGTCTCTATATTTTAACTGTAAAGTGCAAATGATTGGGTTTTTTTTTTTTTTTAAGAAAACCTTCTGGAAAAAATTAACTGAAAGTCAAGACAGCTCTGTTGCAGAGAAAAAACAATAGTTATGTTTGTAACCAATATTACTAAACCATCATAATGTATACGAAATGTCAAAAGCATATTTTGGTTACAGAACTGAAGAATGGCTTATGTTAAATTTGTATACTTATAAAGAACATTATTACTTTTCTGTTTTTAGGAAATAAGTACCTTACTTTGAAAATTCAAAAGGAGGAAGGAAGGAAGGAAGGAAGGAAGGAAGGAAGGAAGGAAGGAAGGAAGGAAGGAAGGAAGGAAGGAAGGAAGGAAGGAAGGAAGGATTGTTTTAGAGATATCTTAAAATAAATACATTCCTATGAAAAAAGTACTATTTCAAGTTTTAAGCTAAAGTTTCATTGGGATCAAAAATCTAGCAGGTATCAAGGCGACAGATTGCCTATCCTTGATCTAAAGAAATGCACACATACAGATGGTTTGGTGTCAAAGACACTAGACCCTGGCAACATGAATGATGCTTTTCAAACAGAATAGTCTCTACTCTATCCCATTAAAGCCATGTCTCTCCACTGAAGTTCTGAACTCAAAATCTAAAAGAAAGCAAGAAATAGCAGTGAGACCCTGAACATTATTAGAAGGGAAAGCTACAGAAAAACATGTTTCTACCAGCCTGGGATACATGGATTGAGCTCTCCATAGGTCCAGTCATATTTTTTATGGCAGAAGACCAGATGCAACCTCCAGAACCTGTAGGTTGGCTACCCATGTTTTATATGAAAGGCAAGTTTTTGGAAATGAAGGCTATACTCAGCATTTGGGAAGAGAGTAAGAGCACAGTGGGTGAGTAGGGTCTAGCAAATCAGCGATGCAAGATCCTTTTATCTTGGCATTTTGGAAGAGGGGTCTTTTTTATTTATTAAGCCTGCTTTTGGGGTCATGCTACAGTTTCCCTTTATAGAAACAGGGAAAGGGAAAGCCAACTGCTTTAGGGAAAGCCAGCTGACAGTTTTCTGCAGTTCTGGTCAGAGAGGCTGAGGATCGCCGAAAGGATATTCAGGGACTGCTTGGGGCTTTCAAGGCCACAGGGCACTCATACCGCCTGGCTTCTGGAAGGTCCATTTATGGCAATTTACAAACATGAATCACGATTAAAAAACAGGGTTATGAATCGGTCCAAGGTCATGAGGATGGGGCGCAGTACTACATTCTTGCGGAATGCTCTTGCACTATTGTTACTGCCCTCTCTCAATGTCAGGAAGATGAAGCACAGTCAGATTAACCAGGCCAGGGAACATGTTGAACTCAGCAAGGGCGAAAGATGCTTCCCATTGTCAGAATAAACACAGTAGTAGTTAGTTTACACTGAAGTGTCCTTGCCTGGCTTCGTATGAAAGTCTTCGCCTGGTGTGCTATTTTTACCCGTTGTTCTTTATACACAATCAGCCATCAATTTGAAAGGAAGATTTTTCAATCTGGCATTTCTTTCGAAACATTTATACCCTTCGGATAATTGTCCAAACTTTTTTTTTCCTTCTAACTGTGAATTTCCCCCCCTTTTTAACAATGAGGTTTTTCCTTTACCAGAGCTTCGGTTTCTGGTTTCATTTATTTATTTATTTTTTAAGCCTCCTTAAAGCCGGCTTCTATGGTGACACAAATGTGATGGCGATGGAAAGCTTCAAACATCTTACCCCACAGAGCCAAATTTATTTTTATTCTATAACCTTCAGTGACAAGTAGCAAGTAAACAAGGTCTGCTTGTCCAAGGGAAAAATCCTCCATGTGCATTTCAAAGCTTGCAGGAATAGACTCAGATCTGTCTGTGGCATTCCTGTAAAAAGTACAGCTGATGGATTCACCTTTTCCATCCAACTAAATACTGTAGTACAATATGTTTTATTATATTCGCACTGTGATATTTTATCAGTATTTTTGTGAACCACAAAGTACAGTGGTACCTCAGGTCACAAACTTAATTTGTTCCACGACTCTGGTCGCGACCCGAATTGGTCGCGACCCGAATCAAATTTTCCCATAAGGTTCAATGTAAATACGGTTAATCCGTTCTGACCCCTACGAATTTGGTCGCCAACCGATTTTGGTCACAACCCGAATCAAATTTTCCCATAAGGTTCAATGTAAATACGGTTAATCCGTTCTGACCCCTACGAATTTGGTCGCCAACCGATTTTGGTCACAACCCGAATCAAATTTTCCCATAAGGTTCAATGTAAATACGGTTAATCCGTTCTGACCCCTACGAATTTGGTCGCCAACCGATTTTGGTCACAACCCGAATCAAATTTTCCCATAAGGTTCAATGTAAATACGGTTAATCCGTTCTAAACCATTTTTTTTTAAAACCACAAAAATATGACACAAAGTACAGTACAGTACACTATGAAGAGAGAGAACGCTAACCTTGCTTGAGGCGTGGAGGACAGGAAGGTGGGTGGGGAGGCGGTTATTGTTTGGAGGGAGAATCCCCCTCCCTACAGGAAGCCATGACCACGTGTCACAGGAAGGAAAATGGCCGCGGATCCTGTTCGTCACCTGATGCGGAGTTCGCGAACAGAAGCAAAATTTTGCGAACAGTGCTGTTCGTGACCCGAATT